CTGGAGCCACTACCTGGGGGTGGGAGGGAATCAGAAATGACACTTGCTTTCCAGTTTGCATTTCCTAGAGCCTGCACTGAAGGGGATGGAGTCAGGTGATGATGCAGACCCTAGCATGGTTTGGATTGTTGTAAGGGGCTGTGGCTGAGTCACCGATAATTTGTGTGCAGTGTGTATGTCAGGGTAGTTAATATGAAGAGCCCCTGTAATGGCTGAAGTAGGAAGCTGTCAGGACTTCAGGGTTCTCACTCTAGCTCTGATCATGGAGATGCATCTCTTCGGACCTTCCTTCATAGTTCCCTTATCTGTGGAAAGGGATGGTAGGACCAGCAGTGCTGTGGGGAGCAGGATGTGAAAGCAGAGCTCTCAGGTAGAAGGCAGGCTCTAGGGAAGAGCTCTTAGAGTGGATGGCTTTATGGGAGACCATATCTAGTGGCCCTGCTGCAGCCTGGACTCTTTAGTTTGCACTGACATTCGGAGCTGCCCTGATGTCATACCCTGGAAGGATGCTCCTACCCCAGGCTTGTTTGAACCAGACATTGCTGTTGCTAGAGGGCTACAATGGGGAGCTGCAGAGCCAGAGCTCAGCCTCTGTGCAGTCTGAACCCCTGCATCCTAGTAAGGAGTGGTGGCTGCTAAATTTAAAGCAACAGTTGCTATCTGATAAAGCAAGACTGAAACCTATGGGTTAAATGCAGTTGGCTTTGGATTCAACTTAGTGCTCCCTGCGCCTTTTGCTGGGAGTGCTTTTGCAAAGCTTCAGCAGGTCATCATCTCAAGGCTCAGAGGAACTGCTGACTGTTAAGAGAAGAGATGGGTTGACTGATAGGAGTAAAGATGATTGTACAGTCAAGTCCCTTGTAGCTGAGCTTGTGTGCTGTGGTTTAAACATGACTTGGTCAGATGACAATCATACCCGTGCGATAAATTGCAGGTAACTTCAGCGAAGAGAACTATCCAGGATGCATCTCACCCAGCAGTAGGTTTGGGGCTTCAGAAACCTCTGCAGACTTGTCAGCAACATCCTGTTTAGGTGGGACAAGCAGCAGATGTTGGATTTATCCTAATCCCTAGCAGCTGATGCCACTTACAATGCAGGGCTGCCCTGCCTGTGGCTGTTGCAGTGGAGCAGGCTCTTCTGCACTGTGTGTTCCCCTAATCTGGAAGCCTCTGTTCCACAGAGAAGGGTAGGATAGGAGGGAGGGAGGTTGGAAGACCTGGGAGCTCATTAGCTGCTTGTATCTCCTAGTTTCTATAGTAACCCAGGAAGAAAGGAAAACCCAAACTGAACAAGGAGCTGCAGCTGCAAGAAGCCTGCTGCATAACCTCTGCCAGCAGCTGTTCTACAGCCTGCAGGCAGAGGTTACCCCAGCTGCAGGCCTCAGGGTTGAGGCTTCATTCAGCAAAACATGCGTGCTGCACAGGTATCCTGCTGCTCTGGCTGGACAGATCCTGCTTCAGGAGGAGGAGGAAAAGGGGCAGGGCACCAGATTGCAGTGGGGGCATGAGACCCCTGAATCTCTGTCTTTGCTCTCTGCTGTAGAGACAGAGGCTCAGATAGCTGAGAGAGAGCATCTAAGAGACTCCTTCTTAGCTCCTGGCAACAGCACTGCCCTAAGCACTTCCCTTTTTCAAAGTAGAAAGCTTTGAGCCAGCCTGGACCTCTGTGGATTTTAGCATCCATGAGTGTATGGCAGGGGTAGGCAAAATACGGCCTGTGGCAGGTCTTTGTCCGGGCTGCAGAGGGTCCCTTGGTCCCACCTGACGCAGGCACAGTCTAGCCGCGGCCCCCTGGGCATGCAGTAGGGCTGGGGAAGCTCTGCAGCTGGACTGCATTTCTAAGCAGCCTGGATGGCAGTGGCTCCTTTTGCAGTTGCTGCCGCTGCTGGCTTCAGCCCCATGGTACCGGCAAGGACCCATGCACGCAGCCCCAACCCTGCACCTGCTCTGGGCTCACCCTAGGTCCAGCAGCGGTGGCGCGGGACAGAAGTTGTTCCTCAGCACGGGGAAAAACAGTGCCTCCCACTGCTGCACAGTTCCTGCTTCAGCTGCCCAGAGCCTGCAGCGTGCCTGGCTGCCCTGCATTGGGCTGGCCAGCAGGGCAGCGGTGGCAACACAGAGCAAACACAGGTCAACCTGGTGCGGTGCAGGCTCCAGGTGGCTGCAGCAGGAAATGCCAAGCAGCAGGAGGGAGAGGGGCTGCTTTCCCCTGCACTGAGCAATAGCTTCTGTCCCACACCCCTGGTGCTGAGCCTAGACAGGTGATCCCGGAGCAGGCGTGGGATGTGCAGGGTCAGGGCTGTGCAGTATGAGTCCCCACCAGTACCGCAGGGATGGGGCCAGCAGGGGTGGCAGCTGGAAGGAGCCGCCACCACCTGGGCTGCCTAGAAAGACAGTCCAGCTGCAGAGCCGCCCCAGCCCTGCTGTGTACCTGGTGGTGGCGGATGCACCACGGGCAAGCGGTACAGAGCAGCTATGGGGCAGGGCTGTGCCTGGGTTCCTG